AGCCATGCTGAGAAATTTAAATACAGAAAAGCTAGCTTACACATTAAACTTTCTGAAGAGCATCAACCCACTTCTTTATTGTAGAGATGGCCAAGAGAAATGGTTGACCATCTTCCATGATGGCTCTTCAATTCTATTCCAAAATGTATTCCCAATATATATAAATATGTAGAACATTATGCAATATGCATTTATAGAAGATTTTATGTCAGTGAAATTGAATTTGTAGGTAAAATATCAGATTGGAATGCCTGACAACTATCTGACGAACCAAACAACTTGTATAAAAATCACATAAATTTCTTGCAATGGCCAAACAAAAAGAACAGAGCAGCAGGAACAAGGAGCGAGAGAGAGAAAGAGGTTGGTCTTTAAAATCAGCTTTTATACTCTTGGTGTCTGTGGTTTCACAACAAATAATAAAAATACAAAGACACACTTTAAGCATAATTACAACCAATATCAAAAACCTAAACCCAAACTATGACACATTAATGTTTGCAATTGGGGAATCATAGACGCATTAATGGACTTAAAAGCATGTGATATGCAAATCTGAATACTGACTACACTTAAAGGTGAAATGAACCACAAAAGCTGTTTTAAATCTGCTTACATAAGGCAAGGTTTTAGCCTCAGTCTCTAACCATGATAGTGAATGGACTTAGGCATGTTTGACTCTCAGGGTAGGTTTTTCATGACAATCAATTTGGGCCTTGTCCTTTCTCATTGTAACCATGACAATGACACAACTTCCTGACCTCCAGGCACAGAAACAATGACAAAAAAGCCATAGCAGTAAAATGAGAGCAAACACGCTTGACAACATCATCACTCTTTCACTTAACATTTAACGTCATAGTGTCATTTAAAAACTGACCCATGCTGATGTAATTTACTCTGTAACTAAATACCAGTAAGGCCAGTTCTGCCAAGCTACCACTCCTCTATATCCATTGTTTAGATCTTTTGCTTGGATAATGATCCTTTAGGTAAAGGTCACAATTATGTCTTACACAATGACAAATGTTTCCCATCACAGTAGCAGCATGTTGTCAAACAGGAAGTCTTTTTGAAGTCAACCTGGTACCTGCCTTCCCATAGATCATATACAGAATCACCTAGATGTTTCCTAAATTTTCTTTAACAATGACTGAATTGTGTCCATAGAATAAACACAAATAATATAACAATCCTCCATTTAAGGCCTCTCAAAACACAACTAGTATGGTCCAAAGTTTGACACAGATCATACATTACTGCTTATAAAGTCCATCAAATGGCTTACTCTCAGACACATCACATACATACACTGTCAAACAGATGATTATCTTTATTCATGTTGGCCCACACATCCAGTCATTTTGGTCGAGGTCATGAGCAAACTGTCAAGGACTCTGAACCTCAGCATCCTCTCTGCCCTTACATTTTCCTCTTACATTCCTACATAATTCAGACATTGCTTTGGAGTGCATGCAAACAGCTTGTTCCCGCTGCCCCCAGATGGACCAAAAAAAAAAAAATCAATTACTGCAGGTTTTACCACTCAAAGGAAGATTGTACATGTAAACTGGTGGGATCTAATTAAAATATCCATTATTCACTGATTTAATTAACATTTAAAAAAAAATTTTAACAGTAACTGAGTAACATAAACCTAAAGGACCTTATCTTATACCAAAGCAAAGTGTAGCACAGCACAGGACAACTGTTATTGCTAGTTTCAGACCAACACAACTGTCATATTCATGGCCAGTATCCACACTGTGTAAGCAGCAAATGTACTTGAGCACATCTGTTTGCCCATGGGCGTGTAGCTCTTAAAATGAGATTTGTCCAAGCACATTGTTGGTGGACTGCTATTTTGAGGCAGCTGAAAGCAACTGACCCCTCCCTAAGCTCCGCCCCTTCGTAATGGTCCATCAAGCTGTTGGAGTTAGCATGTAGCCCACAGTAACGAACTGCATTCCCTTAAGAAATATTATCAATTTTTTTTTTAAGTGATTTCAGAGAGAGGCAGGCAGAGGGATCTACTTGTGTTTGAAGGGTATATCCAGGATGTCAAACTCACTCTGCAGCAAAAACAGGTTGGAAAGAAGCTATCGTTAAAGCCTATGTATAGGCTACAGGTGACAGTGTAAAAGTGAACCACCACATCACTGGCGATCCGAACAGAAGACAATGAATATAAAAGGAAACTTTGCCCAATTTCAACCAGCTGTGCGTCATCACAGTGTGTGTGAAGAAACAGTGTTTGTCTATCCCTGTGACGCCAGCCACCAGTCCTCTGGCGCCGGACAGGTGGAGAGCTCCATGGGAAGCTTAACAGCGTTTATCTGCACACACTGCAATGACACACAGCTAGTTGAATATTGTCAGTTTCCCTGCTTCCCATCCCTGGTTCCTCTAAAGCAGGGTAGGTCTTTATTCAGTGTTATAATCATTAAAAAGCAAAATCAGCATACTTATAAATTAGAAGGATATAACTTTGGTAGTTTTCTAACACTTGTGCGGAAGAAACGTTTATCCCCTTACACCCTCTCCAGGTAACAAGTATCATTAATATATGTGCCCAGCTCAAAATCCACATAACGAGCCTGAAAATGAAGGAAATCTGAAATGATTGCATGAAAATATATGGAGTATAGCTGTGTACTTGTTGGCCCTTTGTTGGAGCTGGTAGATGCTACACTGTGATTGGCTAGTCTGTGCTCTAGGAGCGGGACACCATTGTACCATTGACCAACAAAACACCTATGAATATATCCACAAACTGTTGACTTTTTAGGAGGGCTGATATCAACTGTGCTTTGTACTCTATGTGTCTGAGTTGACAGGCACAAAGTAAATATCTTCAAGTAGACTTTACTTCTGTGTATTGTTATCTCTTATTTTAGGACTAGGAGGAAGTAGACTGGGTGGTTCACAGACCTGTAATCTTGACTTCACTCACTGAGGGTACAGTATGAATTCTAAAACTGGTTTTCATATACATATGTTGCAAACACCGTGAGAGACATGCAGTTGGAATTTAAGGCAGCAAACACATTTGTCATACATTAGCTCTTATCATGTTATCATCTGTTTTCCAAATTAATATGTATGAGCAAGCTGCAAGATTACAAAATAAGCTAATGAAGTTTTTGTTTTTGCTCATGAACATCACTTTGGTTATCTTATATGAGACTTTGTATAAAATTGCCACATTGTGATTTATATCTCTTATAACATTATAAGGATTTACACTATATTGCCTTGTCTTATTCTACAACCTCCACTTGGAGCACCTGACTCAATTGTAATAAAAGTAAGTTGCAACTATTGTGATAACTGATTAACTCTTTAAATAACTCTCCCAGCAAAATTGCAGACTTGCTGGTTTCATTTACTGCTTTTCTGTGCCATATAGTACACTGAATATCTTTGAGATGTCGAAGTAGGAAATTTGAAGAAGTCACCTTGGGTTCTGGGAAATTATAGTCATTATCACTATGGTATTACATTTTATGGCAAATCAATGAATCATTGAATCAATCAATTAACTTTTATTCAAATAGCACATTTCATACAAAGTAATTTCAATGCGCGTTTACATACAACATGTGTGAATAAAAACAAATTAAGTCTTGAGAGTAATTAAGAGAGACAAAACAATTAATAGAGACAGTAATCAGCAGTATAATCAATAATGTAAATAATCATTCGTTGCAACCCTATATATTCTATATAATGTATATACTGTAACAAGGATGTCAACCGCATTGCCCAGCCTTATTCTACATACTCCACACATCACTTTTGGGTCATGATTCTGCTCTATTTTATTCATTTACCATTCAGTGTAACCTAATTAGTAATAAATTAAGAGTTAAGAGAAAGTAGTTACAAGTTAAACAGAAGGAGTATATCGAATCACAAACAGCTACAAAAAAAACAAATAATAATAATGTCAAGGATGACACCACAAACTCTGATTTAATGATAGCACTAATGCAGAAGTGCAGGTGTCAGTGAGGCATCATACATAGTACAAACCTATTAGCATCAAAATATACCTAAAGTACTTAAAGTAAAAGTTCTTATTGTGCAGAATGGCCCATTTTAGAATAATGTAAGTTATATTATTGAATGTTATATTATATTATTGGTTATATTATTATTATAATAATTGGTGCATTGATGCATAACATTACTTTTATGTTGCTAGTGGTAGAAGTGGAGCTTATTGTTTTACTTTATATACTGCTGGGTAGATTGTGCATTTCCCCAATAAAGTCTTACCTTTATCCACAATAATATATCAAAATGTATTTGTTAATTACATATTGCATTATAACTCTGAATTTGCAAAGTAACTAATGACTATATGTATCAAATAAATGAGTGCAGTAAAAAGGACAATATTTGCCTCCAAAATGTAGTGGAGTACTGTTATAAGTATAGCCTTGTAGCAGAAAATGGAAGTACTCAAGTTAAGTACAAGTACCTCAAAATGGTACTTAAGTACAGTACTTGAGTGCATGTACATAATGTCCATTACTGTTTAGCTGCTACAGAAGGGATATCAATGGAAAGGTGGCTAATGTGTAACCTGACAACTTCCTTGTAGTGGGAGTATGTGTTTGAGATAAGAGAGATAATGGGAGAAGAAAGGATGGCTTCATGGAAAACGTTTCTCCTCTCTTCTGGCAAGATATGTCAAAACTGAACGGTAAACAGCTTCAGGCACAACTTCAGTGTAACTTTGTTAACCTAAATCAACAGAGGGAATTAGCACACTTCAAACGCCAGAGGTAGAAGACAGAAAAGATATAATTTCAGGGCAAATGGAGATTTAATAGTGACACACTGAGTTTTTTAAGCACCTGACATAGGTGTAAACGCCACCGGCAGTTTAAACAAGCATATCCCCATGAAAGAAATCACTACAGAGATCGTTAAAGTGTTTTTCGACAACAGTCTAACTAGCTAGGTGTGCCTTAGGTATGAATGAACCTCACCTGCCCGGTGATGCCTGTGATGACGGCCACCTTCCTCTCCTTCTTCAGCTGTCCGTTCACCGCAGAGCTAACGTTAGCAGGCTCGGAGCACAGGGCCATGTCTTCTCCGCTGGATGTTTAAACTCAGCTGCAACACCGACCGAAAGAACGGACAAAAAAACCTGCCTGTGCGGTGTGTTGAAAGTGAGAGTACCGACAGGTCTCCTCAGCATCCGTAAACCAAACTACAGTACTACAAAGTGCAGTACGTAGCAGGAAGCGGCTGACCGATCAGCCAATGGGAGGAGAGAGAGTGGGAGCAGCGGAGGAGGCTTCACTAAAGAGGGCAGAGTCTCTGAGAGGGCTGCGAGTCTCTTAGCACAGCGCCACTCACAGGATGGAGGGAGAAAGTTAGCTTTCTGTTGTATCAATGACGGGTGTTTTGTGTCGCTATTTGTCAGCAGCAATGGTGAAATATGACTAAGTACATTTACTAAGGCAGTAAAGGCACTGTACTTAAATATGATTCTGAGTTATTTGTACTTTACTTGAGTACTTTCATGTTATGCTACTTTATACTTCTACTCTGGCAGCAGTGTGAGAGTCATGGTATTTTCTTTTTTTTGTTAGTTTTAACACCACACAACCTGCCCTGCTCACAATTAAGCTACTGGACAAGCAGGTGGATGCTCCATTACTGGCCTGGATCACCAACTACCTCACAGGTTGATAGTTCTTCTGTGAGGCTGAAGAGCAAAGTGTTGGACATAACAGTGAGTGGCACAGTGGGACCTCAGGGAAAAGTGTCTCCCTTCTTGTTTAACGTAACACCTCAGACTTCAGAAAACATTATCGCCCACAGTCCTGCCACTTGCAGAAGTTTTCAGATGACTCTGCGGCTATAGGCTGTATCAGCTGGGGACAGGAGGCTGGGTACATAAGTGTGGTGGACAGTTTTATGGAGTGGTGTCAACCTAATCACCTGCAACTCATGTCAAGTCAAATTTATTCATATAGTACTTTACACACAAACACTATTGATCAAAAGTGCTCTACAACACACACAGGAAAACAAAAACAAAAGGAAGGACACAAACAAAAGTTTGAGATATAATAGCGATAAAATGATAACAGTGATAACAGAATATCACTACTGTTATTATTAGACCTATAGTAAAAACTATCCTCATTTTAATACTCTCATCACATTGTGACAGCACAGCAATAATGACATTTACATTACACACAGTTAAAGGCTAGTGAGTAAAAGTTTGCTTGAAGATGACTCTTAAAAATCTCAGTGGTGGGGGAGAATCAGATGGTGGGAGGAAGAGAATTCCAGTGATAGAGAAGGCCCTGTCCCCACAACAATTAGACCTGGATCTCGGGACAGACAGTAATTTTTGGTCAGATTATCTCAGTTCTCTCAAAGTGTGATATGGGGAGAGGAACTTTACAATGTAAGAGTGGGCAAGACTTTTAAACACTTTGCAGAAAAATACCAGAATCTTAAAATTTGTCCTGTAGCTAACAGGGAGGCAAGAATGGGGGTAATGTGCCTCCTCTTTGAGGACCTTGTTAAAACTCTTGCTACTGCATTTGGACTAGTTGAAGACAAGACAAACAAGAGTGAGTAATACCAAAATATAATGAGTTGCAATAATCAAGGCGGGAGGATATGAAAGCGTGGATGACCTCCTCCTGGTCAGAGGTACAGAGAATGATCTGAATTTGGAGATGGTGCGCAGCTGCATGAAACCTAATTTTACTACACAGTTGATCTGTTTGTCAAACTTTGATTCAGAGTCAAGTATGCTGATAGAGACAAGGATCTGTTCTATAAATATGAAGAGAGACAGTTTAAAGCAGAACCAGACACCCTGACCCATTCCTTTAATCTGTGAATGAGAAAAGCGTGATCTACTGTGTCAAAGGCTGTGGTTAGATCTAGGAGCAAGTGGACGGAGCAGTTTCCTGAGTCAGCAGCTAGGAGGAGGTAATTTGTTGTTCTTAGTTAGGCTGATTCAGTACTGCGAAGAGCTCTGAAACCAGATTTGAATTTTTTTTAAAAGCAGTTTTGGAGCCAGATGGGTTCATAAATTACTTTTTCAAGTATTTTCAAAAGAAAGGGACATTTGATTGGTCAGTAGAGAATGGGGGATTGGTCTGTTTATGTAAGAGTGAAGGATCTAGATTCTGTTTTTTAGCAAGGGGCTGCACAACTGCATGTTTGAAATTTTAGGGAACATGGCTGGTTTCCAGGGATCTATTGATAACTGAAAGAATGCTGGGGCCGATGGTGCCAAAGATTTCTTTGAAGAGTTTAGTTGGAAACATGGCGAGAACAGGTGGAGGTCTTCATAGAAAAAACAATATGATAGAGCTCTGGTAAAGTAATGAAGTTAAAGGAATACTGAACTGCAGTGTTCTCAGAGACTCTTTACAGATGGAATAAAACTACCTCTGATATTAAGAATTTTGTGTCTGAAAAGGTTTAGGAATTCCTCACATTTAAGGACAGAGGCTTTTAAGCAGGAGGAGGGAGTTTAAAACACTAAAAAGTACTCTGAGATTATGACAGTTATGACAGCCTGCTGGTATTTACTCAAGAGACCCTACAGAATTTGAAAAGAGATCTGCAATTTATCCCGCTTCCACCTTTGCTCTGCCCTTCTACACGCTCTCCTTATTTCTATTGTATTGTTGTCAAGCCATGGTGAGGCTAAAGGCTTATGTGCTTTACTTTTAACTGGCGCGACACAGTGAATAGTGGCCAAATCAGTACTGTTCAATAATAAGACAAATATCTCTGTGCTTACATGAGATGGTGCAGCCTTACTGCTGGTAATGATGGGAGCTTCCCTGTGGGCCTCTGCAGACATAGTAGCAGTGGAGGAATTCATGATGCGGGAGTAGAGGAAAGCAGGACGAACATGAGAAGTTTGTTGCAAATTGAGATCAAAAATGATAGTCTTCTGATCAGATAGGTGAAACTCTTGTGTCACAGTGTCGGAGACAGATAAACCAGAGAAGAGAGCTAATCTAGGGTGTGGCCCTTAAAGGGACATTGTTTAGCATTTTCAGTGGTTTATTGGCAAAAATCGATGTCTGCATTCATAAATATGTCATCACTGGTGTACTGTTACCTCTACCAATAATCTGACTTATTCTCGTAAAAGGAGAATTTCGGATTTGTTTGTACATTGGGCGGGTAGGTCGTCTGTGGGGTTCCATAACGTTTCACCATCTTGAAAATACATCTGCCAGCAAGGCACATATAGCACTACCAGGGAATAGCCCCGCCTTCGGCATTTACGTTGAGAGCCAGGCCAACTCTGTGTGACTTAGAAGTCTAATGAGAGGAGCAAGATGCACTTCGCTACTACCCCGGCAAATTTGAAAGCCTGCACTACTGCAGCATAACAAAGTCCCACTCTTTGAGCACAATGCAGGATCATGCATAGGCAGCATCACAGGAGGCGGAATCCTCGTGGCCAAGAAAGCGCAAAAGGGAATCAAAAAGGCAACATGACCTGCGAATTAAAAAAAACGAGTGTCAACATCGGGGTAGCCTTTCCCAGGTGGAGAGAGCTGCTGAAGGAGAAAGGTAATGCAATCACAGTTATGTGAGGAGAGGGATGAGGTGTGTGAGGTTGAGCCACTTGTCAGTTGTCAAAAGACAAGACATGATTGGTTTTCAATTTACACCTGCTACAACAGTCCTACGTTGTAAACACAGCCAGCATGGTGAGGAGGGGGTTTGTCAAGTTGCGTCACGTGTGTCTGTGTAGGAGCCTGAATGAATACTGCATGTAGTATCAGATGACATGGTTTCATCAATGTTATCACAGCTTTTTGGTACACAGCAGCTACCGTTGTTGCAATTCGAAACAGTGAGGTGCTATCCGTTTGAATGCAATATATGATTTCACCGTTAGATGGGAGAAATTCCTACAGACTGTGGCTTTAACATGTGTAAGGCCATTCTGTAGATCAAAGGATTCAGGTAAATTTATAAAATCACGGGTCATGGCTTCAGAGGGACAGCAAATGTGGATGTCACAATCTCCAAGAATGACAATGTTGTCGAATTTCAGAACACTGTGGGAAAGGAGATCAAAAAATTAATATCTGGCCCAGGGCATCTGTATACTAGCAGGCACAAATCGGGCAGGGTGCCATCTATCATAACAGTCAAAGATTCAAAAGATGAAAAGGGGCCATAAAAGTAATGGAGCACTTGAAGGCATTAGTGTGAATTAACCCCTCCGCCTCATGCTAGGTTGTAATCTAGGTTGTTGAAAGTAAGAATTGCCTGGCTTCAGTGAGAGAGGTCATCAGGTACACGCCATGAATCAGTGATAAAGAAGCAGTTTAGATTTTCTGACAGAATATAATCTCAACAGATAAGTGATTTGTTTGACAGTGATCTCTTGGAGGGAAGGGAAGGGTAGGGTGGAATTATTGTGGGTTTTCTAATAATAAGATTGTCGGCGTTAACTGAATGAGATGCTTTGGAGACAAAATTACAGTGTCTAAGTGTTAGACAGACTGGTATGTGACTTACAGGTGGAGCAACTGACAGTCCATGCCCCATGAGTGGTAGAGGATAATTTTGACCAGGTGTTCCAGAAGTTTCACTTGTACCAGGAACCCCATACCAGTGTCTTTACAGTGGCACTTAACCTTGATTGTGTGTGTGTGTGTGTGTGTGTGTGTGTGTGTGTGTGTGTGTGTGTGTGTTTGTGTGTTACCTCATGGTGTCAATTGTCACTCATAGTACTCATAGTCAATGTTTGCAGAGAGCAGCTTTGACCCCTGCAGGTTTGGATGAAGTCCATCAGGTCTGTACAGTTGGTTATGGTTCCAGAACAGGTCAAAGTTGTCAATAAAGTCCAGATTGCAGTGCAACTTCTCCTTTCAGACAGGTGTACAGTACGTTGTGAACGTTCAGTTCTCAGATTTTAGGGAAATGCATAGGCATCACCCCCTTCAGTAGAGGAATGTGAAAATGCCTCTCTCGTGACAAACCTTGCACAGATACAAATCAGTATAGTCAAGGTCAGACATTTTAGGGTACATACACAAACACATTTTTAGTGGAGGGGGGCTTAAATTATTGCCTTCATTGTTACACAAGATCTTACATTAGACTGCACAGAAACCTACTGTGGGGCTACTCTAGGGCAATAATGGCAAAAACAATGATTGACCCAAAAAATTAATAAAGCTTCTCATTTGAAACCAATATCCCATTTCA